CTCAGAGGGTCAGGGGAGCCAAACCGTCTTGAACCCCTAGTGTAGCCTGAAGAAGAGTAAGCTGGCTGCATACTCGGGGGAGGTCAGCGAGTGGGTCGAACTCACTCCTAGTCAGCTCGACGCTCGAGCCACCACTCATACTATGGTGGTGAGTCCCCATCCTTTTTTCTTTTTCTTTTTCTTTTTTTTTCTTCTTTTTTTTTTGGTGGTCTCCCTCTTAACTGGTTCTCCTTTTTGTAGGTGAACTCTACCATTCGCGCCTTGACCCTCCAATCAGATCGACATCTGAGGCGGGCTCTGGAGGCTGAGAAACCGTCTCGCCCAACTCATACTGAGTTGAGGGCAGCTCGTTGTCAGGTTCACCGCTTGGAGAGTGACGCCTCGGCTCAAAAGAGTTTTATCGAGGTGTTAATGTCAGAGAAGGGGGAGCTAGCTCGAGATAAAGACAAGTTGAGGGCCGAAGTGAACGGTCTCAAGGTCGGTCAGGAGGCCTTAGAGCTCGAGGTGAGTAGCCTCAAGGCTGAGCGGGATGCTCTAAGGCTCGAGGTACAAGACCTCAAGGAGGCGAAGGGGAAACTGGAGCATGAAGTGGGGTACCTCCAGTAGGACATAAGGGAGAAGACTGCAATCTTCGAGGGTACTCTCGAGGAGGCCAAGACCCAGGCCGTCATTGACTACATCAACTCTTCGAGATTCGACGATGTGATGACGGAGGCCTACCGTAAGGGCTTCAAGCTCAGTCGGTGGCTGATCAGACACCTCTACCCCGAGCTGGACACGAGTGCCATCACTACTTTGCGGATTACTGACGACATCGTGCGTCAATCAAAAGATGACCCCGATTCCGAGGATGAAGGTCTCGAAGATGGAGCAGAGGATGCCGGTCCAGACACTGTCTCTGAGGGGGTCCCTGATAGAGGCGGTGAGCCCCCGAAGTAGTTTTCCCTTTATATTTGTAACTTAATCTTTTCCCTTTCTGAACTGCGAATGTATTATCCTGAGCCTTTGAGCTCGGGTAAAAACTCTTGTACCTGAACTCTCTTTTTAATGAAATACAGTTTCTTTCAAGTATCTCTGAGTGCGAAAATACTTCTAAGTGTGAGTCGACTTCAAGCTGGTCAATTTAATGTATAGGTTACCCGAGCTGTCAAGCCACCGAGCTGGCGCTAAGGGTAACTAAGTGAAGTTGTGTTACTTCGGGTCGCGCGGGTTACCCCGGACTATCGGGTTTCCGAGCTGAGTGAGAACAGCAAAGGTATAGG